TTCCTCTTTTTTTTTTTTTTTTTTTTGAGACGGAGTTTCACTCATGTTACCCAGGCTGGAGTGCAATGGCGCGATCTCGGCTCACCGCAACCTCCGCCTCCTGGGCTCAGGCAATTCTCCTGCCTCAGCCTCCTGAATAGCTGGGATTACAGGCACGCACCACCATGCCCAGCTAATGTTTTGTATTTTTAGTAGAGACGGGGTTTCACCATGTTGACCAGGATGGTCTCGATCTCTTGACCTCGTGATCCACCCGCCTCGGCCTCCCAAAGTGCTGGGATTACAGGCTTGAGCCACCGCGCCCAGCCTTTCTTTTTTTTTTTTTTTTTTTTTTGAGACGAAGTTTCACTCTTGTTGCCCAGGCTGGAGTGCAAATATCTTGGCTCACCTCAACCTCCGCCTCCCGGGTTCAAGTGATTCTCCTGCCTCAGCCTCCCTAGTAGCTGGGGTTACAGGCATGCACCACCATGCCTGGCTAATTTTGTATTTTTAGTAGAGACGAGGTTTCTCCATGTTGGTCATGCCGGTCTCGAACTCCCGACCTCAGGTGATCCTCCCACATCAGCCTCCCAAAGTGCTGGGATTATAGGCGTGAGCCACTGTGCCCAGGCTGGCCACACTTTTTCATTGTACTGCACTGTTCCTTTCTTGAGCAGGGAGTATTGGGAAGGGTTGCCAGATTTATCAAAACAAAAACAAAAAGCCAGGATGGTCAGTTAAATTTGAAATTAAGATAAACAATGCATGTTTTCTGAGTGTTATACTGATGTCCCAGATATTATATGGGATATACTTGAATTAAAAACTATTCTTTGTTTATCTGAAATTCAAGATTAACTGAATGTTCTATAATGTATCTGGCAACCCTAGGCCTTCTTTCTCCTGCTTCTAGCTACCAGCTAGTTCTGCCCACAGCTTGCTCTTTAAAGGCTGGACGCAGTGGCTCACACCTGTAATCCTAGCACTTTGGGAGGCAGAGGTGGGCAGATCCCCTGAGTCCAGGAGTTAGAGATCAGCCTAGGCAGCACAGTAAGACCCCCATCTCTACAAAAAATTAACAAATTAGCCAGGCATGGTGGCACATAACGGTAGTCCCAGCTACTTGGGAGGCTGAGTTGGGAGGATGGCTTGAGCCCGGGAGGGATGAGGCTGCAGTGAGTTGTGACTGTGCTACTGTACACCAGCCTGGGTGACAGAGCGAAATCCTGTCTCAAAAACACAACACACACACACACACACACACACACACGCACACACACGCACACACGAACAAATGGTTAGGCCCTTTGGGACTGGCTGTGCTATGTCTCTAGTCTGCTGAAGGGACAATGAACTCTTCTGCCCCAGAAGGCACAGCCTGGGACTGCTGCCAACCCTGCCACCTTCTGTGTAACTGGGCAGGTCTTTTCCCTCTCAGAACCCTCCTTAAATGGAAGATCCAGTCTTAGGTACTTAAGTAATTACAAGTCTCCCTGCAGGCCCTAACTTTGCTAATTATTTCTTCTCCCCTTTTCCTGTCTGCCGGGCCGGACCTGGCCAAGGATGAAACCCAGCCTATGGTTTTGCTGTGTGAGCAGAGGACACCCAACACCTGGGGCAGGGAACCCAGGGGAGCAATGCTCCTCAGAGGATGAGGGGAGAAGGAGGGGCAGAAGGAGCACTCGGAGGCTGGGGGCTGAGGCTGCTGGGTGACGGGCCATTGATTTTTGTGTGTGTGTGCGCGACAGAGTTTCACTCGTTTCCCAGGCTGGAGTGCAATGGGGCCATCTTAGCTCACTACAATCTCCGCCTACCAGGTTCAAGCAATTCTGTTGCCTCAGCCTCCCAAGTAGCTGGGATTATAGGCGCCCGCGCCACCACGCCCGGCTAATTTTGCATTTTTACTAGAGATGGGGTTTCACCATGTTGGCCAGGCTGTTCTCAGACTCCTGACCTCAGGTGATCTACCTGCCTTGTCCTCCCAAAGTGCTGGGATTACAGCTATGACCGGCCACGCCATTGACTGTTTTTTCCTCCAGAGGCGGCAGCTTGCTAAACATTGAAAAGCAGGTTCCAGGCCCCACCTGCACTTAAAGGCTCTGTGATTTCAGGCAAATTCCTTAACTGGGGCAAATGTCTCAATTTCCTCCGCTGCAAAGGGGACTAACGCTCCCCATGGCGGGAGGAGGGGAAAAGGGGTCTCCCCTTCCCGGTTTCAAATTCTGTATTTAGACTGTGCGGCACGTAGGAGAGTGGCCTTAATGAAGGGCCACTGTTATTGCTGTTGTTGGCATCCTATATTATATATCTATATCCTTCTGGAAAAAAACCTCTTGAAGAAAGCTAACCCCTGAAAGGACAAACACATTGCAGGCTCTCTGAGCTTCGGCAAAGAACACAACACATTCCAGGCTGCCTTCATTCCAGCTAAATTTTATTTGTTGGATTTTTGACAGACGTCTAAATTATACATTGAGTTTTCCACATGACCAAACACCACGTCTCTTCCTTTGATTATCATTTTCAAAAGGGATTATAAAAAAAGAACCTTTTGATGGATCAGACTGAACCCTGAAACCACATGGAGTGCAGAGCTAAAAATAAAAGGAAGTAAGAACTGGTCCCCGAGAAGGAAAGGAAAGGGAAATCAAAGCAAACTCTGACGGGAATGGAGAGACGAGTCCTGGTGAGGGTGACATGGTGTCACCCTCCAGGCCAGGCCGGATAAGGAGCGGCCAACAGTGAGGGTGGGGCGCAGAGTGGCACAAAAATAGCCACTACTTTAGTCCAGAGGGGAATAAAGAAATTTGTCAAAAGCCAGGAGAGAGGCGTGGAGACGGAGGGAGGGAGGAAGGGGGCAGGACGGGGTCCTCCCAGCAGCCGTGGGAGCTGCGGACTCCTTTCACCCTGGCACATTTCTAACCGCCGGCATAATCGCTGACTTTCAGCTGTGCACCGACATGTTCCCCAGCTCAGCCCACATCAATGACACCCTTGTTTCCATGGTAACCAAGGGAGAGTGAAGGGGAAAGGGTGTATTGCACAGGGTGCAGGGAATCTAGCCAAAAGCAGCCACACGGGCTAGGTCGGGAGGAGAGGAGGGCTCGAGTTTTTCCCACAACTGGCTGGAGCACACACCACGGCCCCTCCCAGGCCTCGTCTGCCCTCTGGCCCCCAGCCCTCTGCCCCGCACATTCAGATGCAATCGTTCACAGGGCAAAAGTCTGACTCAGACTCACTGGAGGTGGGAGGAGGGGAAAAGGGGTCTCCCCTTTCCGGCTTCAAATTCTGTCTTCTGGTCAGGGGGCAGAAGTGGGCAGGGGAGAGGCAAGGGGACTTTAAAAGCATTTTGTTTTTAAATGGGAGCTTTCAAACTCTGCCTTTTTCAGGCTTCTCTCATCTACCCCAGAGCCCCAGGAGGGTTCAAAAGGGCTCAAAGGGAAGATGAAAGCGTGTGACATCTGCAATGTCTCTGAGTCTCTGCAGCTGAACAGCAAATCGGAACATTTACAGAGGCCGTTATCAGAGGAGTGGCTTCTGCCTGCTAGCGGAGGCCTTGGGAGGGCTCTTTAAAACACTCCCTAAGTTGGTGGTAAAAGAACAAACAAATTTTACAGACCATCCACTGCCACAGTCAAAGTTCCATTCTGCAGTGTTCCAAAATTGTGGACCTCCAAGCAGGCATTTTGCCCCTCAGTTAACTTGTCCCTGATGAACTATTCAGAAGGAAAAACAATTTTCAAGTGCTAGAGCCACATTTGCAGCCAGGTAGAAGGGGGATTTCTGATTCCTTATAATTCTGTGTTGCCTCTGTTCAAAGTAGGAGCAGGAGTTGGGTGAGCCAGAGAAGCCAGTGGAGGAGGCTGCAGAGAGCAGCTAGCTCTGCGGTTTAGAAAAACCTCACTTTCTTTTGTTTTGCAAGTCCTTACAGGTCTGTCCACAGCAACTCCGGGACACCTTTTCACGGCTGGCTTTGTTAATGACTTTCACGCCAGACCGCCTTTGAAACTAGCTATGCCTCAGTCTCTGCTGTATGCTCTTAGCCAGAAAGAGCTGGGAACTGAGGGCCAGGGGCTGCGGTGGCCCCTTCAGTCTGCTCACAAGCCCTGGTGGGCTTGGGAAGTGCCACCTCCCAGGATGAGAAGGCAGCTGGCCCCCAGGGACCCACCAGTCACTGTACAGTCTCTTATTCATTCTCTGAAAACCCCTGAGCTCAGGCACCAGAACAGAGTTTAATTCAGGAGCCGGGTGATGTTCTGGCCTGTTTTCCTGTGTTTGAAGCTGAGGATTTCTGAAGGCTCAGGGAAACAAGCTCTTTTTGCAATGAGGGGCAGGAGAAATCTTCTGCCATTCCTCTCCAATCAGTCAACAGAGGACAGACATTCTGCTGCAGAGAGGCAGAGGAGCCCAGCAGCTGGGGGGACTCTGGCTTCCCTGGACACAACTCCTGCCGTCACACACACACCCGTGTCCTCCCCAGCAGAAAACCCTCTCCACCCAGGAGCATCCCACACCACCAAGTTGCCAGCACTGTAGGAATTGATCGCTCTAAAAATCGATCTGCCTGGCTTTTCTCAGTGGGGCAGGTTCATGGTAAAGCTGCATTTATTTCTAAAATCTGATAGCAGCAGCCTATTGTGATCGTTTAAACACAGAATTCTTTGAGCTTTAGAAATCCCTTCTATAGGATGGCCGTGGAGAAGCCAGCTAATCTCAGAGTCGGCTGCTCACTGCTCCACTGAGCTGGAGAAAGCCTGTTTACGCTAGCCTGAGCCCTCGATGTGAGAGCTTTTTAAGGACCTTGTAATTTTTCTGGAATTAAACCTCCCACCTCTCCTTACATTCCAGATGTCATTACAGTCAAAAGTCATAAGAATTTGCTTCTCTGTGTGGCTGGCAGGGGCGGGTAGGGATGGGGTATGTTTCTGTAGTGACTTATTAGCAAGAAAGGGTTTTTTTTTCCTGTCCAAAGAGTGAGGATTACATACGTAGTCTCCGACCTGCAAGATGACGAGATGATTTAATTATCTGCCTTCCCCCCAACACCCCCACTCAGCAGCTTCCTGCCAGACAGACTGAAGCCTGGCTGGGTTGGTGATGGTAAAAATCACTAACCAGCACCAGCAAACGCTGTCTGTGGTTAAACCATGGAGGGAATGTAAGGGATGGGTCAGTAAATAAATGAACTCAGCAAAGCTGCTGCTGCTTCTTTTTCTTTTTTTTTTTTTGAGAGAAAAAAAAAAGCCCACTGGAATTGTCTAAACTGCAATGCAATCTCTTGCTCATTTAAAAGATCTCATTTTCTAATCATGTGCTTTGAGACATTTAATACTATTTCAATTATGCAGAGGAAATAATATAATTCCTTTATTTGAAAAATGATACTGAACCTCAGAGATCAGTTAAATCTACTGCTGGAATGGGGATTCTTTCTAAACTGTGTTGTTCCCTCTCTTCAAACAGCTGTAGCTGTACACAGATGGAAAAACATTTGGTCAGAAAGCAGCAAATTAGTGTTTTTCAGGACCGAATTCGGCTCCCGCGGCTCCTGCGTCTCCATTCGTCTAGATTTTATTTCTTCTTTGCATTGACATTTTTGCAGACCCAGTTCATGCCATCCTTTGAGGGAAATGGGCAGAGAAAGGCAGTGTTAGTTGTAAGAAAAGCACCACACACTCCAGCTTGGAGGTGCGGGCAGTGGGGGTCCCTGACCCTCCCTCCCAGACCACCAGCTCAAGGGAGTTTGCTTGTCTCAGGGGCCCACCTGGGTGACCAGGGACAGTGACCTCCCAGGAGGGGGAGGAGGAGGAGGAGGGAGGCCTCCTAGAGCACAAGAGGGAGATGGGAGGGGGAATGCCCAGCGCCTGAACTTGAGATGGGTCCTCAGGAACTCCCTCTGAAAAAATAAACACATCTGCCTGCATCCAAGGCCTGACTGAGGAGCTATCAGGACAGATTCCAGCCATTTTTGGCTTTTTCTAAAAGCTGACCTTTGCTGGGCCATTACATTCAGTAAGCCACCCTTCTGGTGCCCCAGTGTGTTTACAGTGTGACAGTGTACACTTGGGTTAAATTAAATTTCTTTTTGGAAAAACAAACCCACCACAGAGTGTGTTACGAGTCACACACCAGGGCGATGTGCATTTACTTCTCACCCTGCAGCACCAATGGTAGGTTTAAAAGGGCCTGGCCCGCTTCTTACAGCTTTAAGCACCAGCATACAGAGGGACTGGGGAGAAGGTTCCCTTAAAGGCACAGTGACCTTGAAAACACCCTCTCTTAGAAGGCTGGAGAGGGACCAAGGTAAAAACCACACAATGCCTACAGCCACCTGGCAGGTGGCACGATTCCTACTGATGCCAGGCCTGTCAGAGGTGACCTCCTTTCCAACCCCCTTTGGAGCCAGACCTGGACACTCTCCCCTTCCCTAGAGTCTCCCCAACCTTCAAGAGTGTGTGGGGTTCCCTTGGAAGCCCAGAACAAAATCCAAGGTGGCTGCTGCCATGAATCCTTTTCCCTGCATCTGTGACACAGACTCACGAAGGTCCCAGCTACATTTGCACACATCAGCCATACTGGACACGCCACTGAGTCCCACATTTCCTGTGGCCATGGATCTAGCTGCTGAACCTGAACAGCTGAGACAGCTTACAGTAATAAATATCAGCTGACACCCTTGGCCATTCGGAACATTAATCCCATAAACAATACATCACTGCAAAACAACCAGCAGGCATCCTCTCTCCCGGCTCATCTGACCGTCACCTGAATTTACAGTGATTACAGCTCCACCAGTTGCCGTCAGTGCACTTGGGCAGCAGAACCAGATAATCTGACGGCTGTCCCAGAGCCGACCTCTGACCTTTGCCAAGATGAGGCCAGCCAGGCCGAGAGCCCGAAGGTGGACAGCACCTGGCAGCAGCAGGGGGAAGGGCAGAGGAACGCCAGCTGAGATGGGAGAAAGGGGGACTCCAAACGCATCTCTAATTACAACTGGGTCAGCTACTTACACTGAGAAGCCAAGGCCAATTTTAAGACCGTTTTATGAAAAGGATTAATTTAAAGAGAAGCATGTTTAATTTTAGTAGCTAATTGGTTTTCAGGAAAAAAAAATGATCACCTGCCAAGAGACAAAAAGATTTTACAAATAAAAGAGGGATGAATAAGATAAGCATCTCCTCTTGCCTGGGAAGCTGAATAGCTCAGCACTTACATAGCACTTCCCACCTTCAGGAGCCCGTGCACACTCTCAAAGCTGCGCACCTCAACATCCTCTCCTCCATGGAGGATCGCAATCAACCGTCTTCGCAGAGAAATCAAGGACAGTGTGCCCACACTATGTGAACAGCGCTTTGCCTTTTTTCTTGCTTTATGGCTGATTAAGGAGAGATTATTGTATGTAACTGAACATGAATGCAGGCAAAAAGATAGGAAAAATATTTACTCAGCTGCAGGAGCCCATAGCAGAAGGTGGAGGTCATGGGGCGGTTTTATGCTGGGTCTCTGTTATGGAGGCAAAGGAGGGTTCAAACGGCAGCGCCCTGCTGAGGGGCAGTGTCCGGTGTCTCCAGATGCCTATGAGAGCCAGCCGTGGCGAAGCCCTGCCAGCCACTGTCCTGCCAACAGAGGGCGCGTGGAGGCCAGTCCCTGCCAGCTGACTCCCGGCCTGGGCCCCTGCAGCTGCTGCTGCAACCCTGAGTGTGGGAAGCACAGGGAGCGTAAACAGGGGACCAAGCCCTGTGGCTGCCCTGGGCCCAGGAGGCCCCTCTGATCTGAGGCGGCTGGGACTTGGGAAGTGGCACCTTTCTTGTGCTAACCAGAAGAGAACTGGGATGGAGGTGGGAGGGGAGGGGAGGCTGTGGCCAACAGTGGTACCTCTGCGAGTTTCAAGCTGCCCCCTGGAAACGAAAGGCAATGGTGGTTCCCCCAGGGGAGCTTCCTGTCAGACTTGCTGGAGGCTGTATTCTCAGAACCTAGCATGATGTCCAGCCCACAGCCCACTTAATACACATCATTTTTTCAAATTTTTGAGATGTAGTCTCGCGCTGTCTCCCTGGCTGGAGTGCAGTACCTCGAAATCGGCTCACTGCAACCTCCGCCTCGTGGGTTCAAACAATCCTCAGCATCCCCAGAAGCTGGGACTATAGGGGCGCACCACCACGCCTGGCTAATTTGTGGTATTTTAGTAGAGATGGGGTTTCAAAATGTTGGCCAGGATGGTCTCCATCTCCTGACCTTGTGATCTGCCCAC